ATCTGTGATTGGTTAAAAATAATTTTTAGCTAATCACGTATTGGCATTTTTTCTAGATTTCCGATTCCCAGTGTGATATATGAAAATCAGCGGACACAGTAATTTGAAAAGCGCGATAAATAAACGCATATTTTCGCATAATTAGGAAATTAGATTACTGTGCTGTTGTGTTGAAAGCATTTTGGGTCATATTATACAGTATATAAAATATAATATACTTTTTTTTGCATATGATGATTAATTGCAAAAGTTTTACTAATATTTGAACAACAGTTATGTGAAATCTTTGATTAAATCTTTATCATTTTTATAATTTACTTCGTTGGATATTAGTGTGCTAAGTCTAGTTTATTAACTAAAAAAATTTTTTATGCATTATTTATATCGATTTAAAAATATATAGTGCGTTACTATTACAAGTGACTATATCTCGATTTAGGTCATAGATAAAATATTGTAATTTTATAAGTTATTCTACAACTTATAAAGATTTAGGGCATGATCTCACCTTAAGGAAAGAACAAAAAAAAAAAATTTTTAATGCAGTTTATAAAATCGTAATTACGAACAAAAAATTGGTCTCATATTATTGATTGTGAGAATCTGCTAGCTGAAACGATTTGCCCAGAAGGTTAGCAGCAAAGTATGGGGACTAGGTTGCGAGTAACACACGCGCCTAGAGCCAGATACCTTCAAGTCTTCCCGAAATGTCTTAACGAATCTAACAATCCTAATACGCATTTAACGGATGCCATCTTAAAAATTTATAAAAAATTTATGAAAATTCATTAATGGCATTAAAACAAAATTTTCAAAATGCAAATTTGAACTAGTGTAACCGTTGATGGGAGAGCTTATGAAAATAATATGAATAGAAGGCCAATTTAACTCCAACGGTGTAGATAAACAGAGAAACGAAGGGAGTTGTTTATAACTGTTGGAGGTCTATTGAGACAATGACATTATGAAACGAAGGTTTTAATATGAATAGGGTGATGCAACTACAGGTGATGCTGTTAGGAATATCTCCTTAAGGATAGTGAGGTAAAAGCGGACGATGATCAAGTGATGTCGGTGATAACTTTAAGCCCACGTGATGGATTAACAGGGTCGAATAACCAATCGTAAGTATCGTTCTTTACCACAAGTCTCGCAGGTCACTAATGTGAATGGCAACCATTCTAGAATCCAAGTCTTAATAAGCCGAATCGAAGTTACAAGTCAATTCAGTCCGTCGAATTGAGTATCGAAAGGGTTTATTAAAGTTACAAGTCGAATTCAAAGACAAATTCTCAAGGGAAATTCAGATAAGTATATACTTTGTTATTTAGTGGTAATTGAAAGTGGACATGGAACTTAATCGCTGTTTCTCGACTCCCCGTTCATTTATTGAATTCATAGTCCCTATATACATTTTAATTTTCAGTAACGTAAACACCGCAATTATAACAGTCTTTGTGTAATCACGTATACGCGTGATTCATCTGATTTCTATGCATCCTAGCCATTAATCCATTTTAGTATAAGTTATGGAATAATCAAAAGAAATAATAAAATACTAAATTGGACATTATTACCAGAATGGATGGTGAATTACTAATAAACTATATACATGCGACGGCAAAGTTACCGACTAAATAGGAGTTTAGAACAAAAAAAATAAAGAAAATCAAATTTTAATTCGTTACACTAGCTTTGTAAAGTCAAATGAGATAAAATTGTCAACTTTAAATTATCTACATTCAAACTAATAAAATTCTATGGCGTAAAATCAATCAATCAACTGTATGTGGGCTACGGTTGTTTGCGACAATTTTTAAGTGACCAAATAGTTGGCTGAATTTATAATTATTGCTATACACATTTTACATTGGTTAAAATAGAACAGATTATTTTTTGCTCAACTTTGCAATATCTAATATACGACCATCTAGATAAGGCGTTATATTTTTTTGATTAAGGATGTAACTTGCTAATATCTCATTTTCTGTGTCAAAAGGAATTGATCCCAGAATTGGGTATGGAAGTAATCTAAAATCGATCCAATATATATATAATTAAAAAGACAGTAATCTAAAAACAAAAAAAAAACAATCATTTTACTTACCCATCACCACCACTTGCGACAAAATCAATAGTTGCAATATCATAAATTCTATCATTTACAATCGACTCAAATATTCTGGTATCCCAACTCCAGACTTTTATCTCGATCAGCCTTTCAAATATCGGTTTGTTACTATCATATTTAAACCTGATTCCGGAAACTTGAATAAAACCATTAACTTCTTTTCCTGAAATAATGTTACGTGATCTTCCTACTGCCGTTTCTAACAAATCTGAAATGTTTTTTCCAGTTAAGGGTAAAATCACCAGAGAACTTTTGAATGGTATAATGGTCAAAATATTCGCTTTTGTTATGGGTCCTTCCAGTAGTCCAGCTCTGATCTCTCCAGCATTTATGAATGCAGCATTTATTTTCGTAATGTCAAACTTAGTAGTATCATTTGCTTTTGTATAATTTAATTTACCACTAATATTTTGCTGACAATACCAAAGCAATGAGTCAGCGATTAAGTTTCCAATTGTACATTCTTCTATCTGACATTTGGAATGATCAAACGCGTCTAGTGCATTACCAATTATAATATTTGTATATTTATCAAACGGGGATCTCCATTGGCTTACTAAATTAACTAAAACAAGGTCTTGAGGAATTGATTGATCAATCAAAATTGGGGCACCAGAATAGGCGACTATTTTTCCGGCTTCATTAAATGAAACGTCTAAACGTCCAATATATTTTCCGGACCAGAATGCCTATATATCAACATGTAGCGATAAGTCATGGTATAAAAAAATCATCGTTGATGTAATGTTATAATACCTGGACGATCAAGGTATCCTCTCCCCCAGCATTCTTGACAATCGTAGGGTATGGACCTTCTATTAAAGAATAATCCTTTGAAGTAATATCGTTAGATAAAAAACTATGACTATGCCCTCCAATATGCACAGCAATACCACGGGTCTTTGCAGCTAATTCCTTATCGGGTTTGTATCCATTATGAGAAAGTGTTAAAATTCGGTTAATTCCTAATGAATGTATTTCATCAACATAATGTTGAACTATAGGAATTGGATCGATGAATGATATGGTTGAGCCCGTGTTGGAAACATCATCTGTTACCTTAGTATAAAATATCAATTTTCTATAAATGCGAAGTTCAAATTTAAGATCTTAAAAATAATGAGTTTGACATACATTAGTTATATAACCAATAACAGCAAGATTGTACTCTTCAAATATATGATATGGCTTTATGTATGCCCCAAGTAAAGGATTTAATGTCGTATTGATATTCGCACACACAATTGGCATGCTTAATTGTTCAAAGTGAGCGGTAAGTGTTTCTGGACCGTTATCGAATTCATGGTTTCCAATAGCCTACTTTATATAAATTAATTATTTCCCAGAGTTAAAGCAAAGGGAAGAGGCAGTTAGGAACTTTACCGTAAGATTATACCCAAGTAAATTCTTCGTTTTGATGATAGTACACGCTTGATTAATCCTAAGGAATAAAGTCAATTAACTATAAATATAAAGTGCTTACCAGAACTTTAGAACTTAACATTCCCTATACATTTTATTGAAAAATTGATGTCAATTCTCTTATTCAACTCGTCTTAAAATTATAATTTTAACATACATTATAATACGTAAAGAATAAAGTTCCTACAAATACCAAGATTAAAGTGCAGAAATTTGAGATTATTTAACAAACATTTACGTATAAATTGGCAAACAAATGTTTTATGTACCTTGAAATTGGTCTCCCCCATCTAAAAGCAACGAATTTTTATTCTCCCTTCTCAACCTATCAATTACCGTCTTATGTCTAGCGATTCCACCAAAACACATACTCTTTTCGAACTGCTCCGCCGTACAATCCGTGAATGCTTCATTAATTTGATCATAATGTGAATGAACATCATTTGTATGAATAATTGTTAAATTCCAAATCTCTGTGTTTACATTTTTATTTACATATAAAGAATAAGTAAATGTGAAGTATATAGTATGAATGATAAAAACTAAGAATACAGTTGATGATATTGTTACGTTAAAGATTAGCATGATACAAAATTTAAGTTTCTTCAAAAATATTTTCACACATTTATATTATTTTTGAGATGAACATAAAACTTACACGCATTTATTTACTAAAAATTAATTATGAGGCTTATGCACAATAATGATATGAGATACGTTTTCAGGATAATATTATGACAAGTAAACGAAACATTTTATAATAAATTATGTTGGTTTCTTTATACATATAACGTAGTAAAATTGCTATCATTACTTTCTGCAATTGGTGCAAAAAATTTGTCTTATACTGTTTAGCACCTGAAATAGTCATATTTTTATCGTTATACAGTATATAACAAAATAATTGTGCAAAAATGGGTGCCGCCAAGAGAAAACCAGGAATTCTAAAAATAGATTTCTACCCACAGCGAAGTTGCGGGGTTTTTAATTG